CAATATGCTTTTCTAGATTTGAAAAGCAACAGATTTGGGTATGCTATGCCAACATATTTACTGGATAACAATGGTTGAGGAATAACAATTACTGAATAACAAAAGGATAGTCTACATGACAGTGTCCTTTGTCAGTCAACCTATGACTTGTGGATCTAGTGTCACTCAAAATATCTGTGGCAGAATGATTATTTTGAGCCAGTAGAAAACCCAGATAAATGAGGCTCCAAGGGGTTCTAAAGCAATGATAAGGCCCTTAATCAAAAACCTGTTCATTTTGGGGACTAGTTCCTGGTCTGCTTGTAGGTCATGGCAGAACCTAATGACCTTACTGTGAAATATCTGGCATATTTTATGCTATAAAACTCAAAGCCACCACAAAAACAAAGAAAGAGGTATAATAAGGAACAGGATATATATTTTTTAAACATCAACACCAAAGAAGGTACAAAAGAGAAAAATGACAAAAGCCAGAAGAAAAAAAGAAAATCACAGCCAAGATAGATTTAATTCCACTATATCAAACCACATTAAATGTAAATGTTCTAAACACGTAAATAAAAAGGCAGATACTGTCAAACTGATTTTTTAAAAAAGACCTAACTATAAGATATCTAAAAGGAACCATTTTAAATAAAGACACAAAGAGGCTAAAAGAATAAGGATGGATAAAGAGACACCATTCCAACACTAATTTTAAAAAAAGAAAATGCAATGATTATGCTAATAGATTACAGAGTTAATAAGGAAGGTAATTTCAAAGTGATAACAAAACACTTTTAAATATATACCACTTAATGACAAGTTTTAAAATACATGAAATAAAAACTGATAGGCCAACTAGGAAAAAGATATAAATTCCCTAGTCAGAGATATCAATAACCTTTTCTCAATAATTAATAGAGGTAGACAAAAAGAGCTTATAAAAAAAGATTATAATACTATCAGTTAACTTGATCTAAATGACATTAGATCACCCAACAGTAGAATACACATTCTTTGCAAAAGAAACAGAAAATTGACTAAGATAGACCATATCCTTGGAGAATAAAACAAGTCTCAATAAATTTAAAAAGCTTAAGACAATACAAAATTGGTATCTAGCTGCAATGGAATTAAATTAGAAATGAACAACTGGAAAGTACCTAGAAAATCTCTAGTTAAACTTCCTAACAAATTTCTAAATAACCCATGAATCACAAAGAAAAGCAAAATTAAGAAGCATTTTGAACAGAATTAAAGTGAAAAATAGTATGTTAAAATTTATGAGATGTAGATCAAGCAATATTTAGTGGAAAACTGTATAGTACTATCTATATTAGAAAGCATGTTATCAAATTAATGACCTCAACTTCTACCTTACGAAGAGAAAAAGAACAGCAAATTAAGCCCAAAATAAACAGAAGGAAGCAAAAAAAGGTCAGAACAAAAATAAAAAACAAAAATTTAAAAAATCAATAAAAGCAAAAGTTGATTATTTAAGAATATCAATACAAATGATAAATTCTAATAAGAGCATTCGGACAAAAATTGTCAGAAATGAGAATGGTATAAACATTAAAGGGATAACACAATCCAAAATTAAAAAACTTACAGTGGGCAGATTCCTTAAAAGAAACAAACTATTAAAAATCACTCATGAGAAACTGATGACCTGAATAATCTTACATCCATCAAAGAATTTTATTTGCAGTTTAAAAACCTTCCCACAAAGGAAACTAGAGGCTCAAAAGACTTCATGGAACTAAACATTTAAAGAAGAAATGAAAATTCAACAGACATATTTCCCAATATTGAAGAAGGAACACCTCCTAATTTCTTCTTTCAGTTTTATCCTGACAGCAAGATCAGACAAAAACATTTTGAAAAAGGAAAACTAGAAGCCAATTTCCTCACGAACACATATATAAAATATCTTAATACTTCAGCAAGTTAGATATGAAGATACATAAGGGATAACATTACAGAAACACAAGGTTGATTAAACATCTGAAAAGCAACCAATGTTATTTTCCATATAAAAAATTATACATTGCAATAAATGCAGACCAAGCATTTGAAAGAACACAACTTCCATTCCTGATAAAAACTACTCAATAAATTAGAATATAAAAAAATCTTCTCAACCTCATAAAGAAAGTTTTACATAATCCCCAAGTTAACATATTTAACTGTGAAAGACTAAATGCTTTCCCTCCTGAGATCAGGATCAGGAACAAAACAAGGACATCCACTCTTGTCACTTCATTCTTTCAGGTGTTTTTGGTAAGGACAGAATTCTACATTTGCAGTTACTTTCTCTTATCCTTTACATATCATTGCCTTCTGGTTTCCATGGTTTCTATGAGATCTTGTATATGTGTTTATTTCTAATGGTTTCCACTCATATAGTTTAATCTATTCAGGTGCTTGGTTATGTATATTTGTTTCCCAAGTATTATATTTTAAATATATTAGTTATAAGTTGTAGCTTATGAGAATATATCTTCCAGGTAAGCTATCTGTTTGCTTCTGCCAGGATCTCTTGAGCATAATACTATGGCATAAGCTCAAGGCAATTCTAGAGACCAAAATGACTCAAAACTAAGCCGCAATAAATTCATGTCTATTCCATTCCTAAGGGCAGACATCTAAGCTATCCCTCCCAAAAAGGGTTACTCGTGAGGTTCATCACCATGGTGGACCCTGCTCTCTAATCCCTGCCTCCTTTGTCTTGAGTTACTTAAACTATTCTCTCCAGAATTGGTAAAAGCCCCATGAAGTAGATCCAAATATTAAGTTCATCTCCCTGGGCCTCCATCCAGTAATTCATAATAATCTTGTTTGATCTCCAAAAACTTCAGGAAGATTGTATTTTAGATTAAATTCTATATCAGGGGCCTCCCTGGTGGTGCAAGGGGTTAAGCACCACACTATGAAGCAATCCACTGCCTCTAAAGCACGAGTTCGATCCTCGGCCGGCCAGAGGGAAACCAACATGGCCCAGCAGCCTCTCCTGACTCTCCCACTGCTCCCCTCAGGAGCATATTTCAGTCAGTCTGCCTGTTCTGTTCCCCACTCTGTCTCTAGTGAATCCTCTCACCCCACCCTCCCACCCCCGCATTTCTGGCCTGTACCCCAGCTCTTGTATGCATAAATAAATCTTTAAAAAAATATAAATTGTGTCAGACCCCTGTATCCTACACAATATATACAATATATGTATTTGGTTATCTAGCATTTTGCTGAATACAAAACTGATATTTATAGTGATATTGGTTATAGTTTTCTTAACATGTGATGTCCTTATCTGGTTTTGGTGTAAGGATCTCCTATCTGGATGCAGCCTCAAAGAATGAGTTGGAAAGTGTTCTCCTCTTGTATTTTTGTTAACAATGTGTAAAGAACTGGTTAATTCTTTAACTGTTTGGTAAAGCATCTGAACCTTGGATTGTCTTTTTAAGTGAGTTTTATTAATTCAATTTCCATACTTGTTACAGTTCTATTCATATTATCTTTTTTTTTATGAGTCAGTTTCAGTAGTTTGTGTCTTTCTGGGAATTTATTTCTAATTAACTGTCATACAGTTGTTCATAATGCTCCTTTAAAATCCTTTTTAATTCTGTAAGATAATTAGAAGTGTCCCTACTTCATTTACTTCATTTCTGATTCTAACAGTTTCTCTCCCCCCCCCTTTTTTTTTAACATGGTCAATTTATCTAACCACTTGTCAAGTTTGTTAATCTTTTCAAAGAACCAGCTTTTGGTTTCAATGATTTTTCTATTTCCTTTATTTCTATTCTAGCCTTTTCTATTTCCTTCTTTCTTCCTGCTTTAGGTTTCATTAAAATTTCTTTTTCTTCTTCTTTAATATAGGTATTTATGGCTATAAATTTTCCACTAAGCCCAGTTTAGGTACATTTCATAAACTTTGATATGTTGTCTTTTTTCAATATTCTTAAAGTACAAATTCCCCTTCTGCTTTATTCTTTGACCCATTCAATATTTAGGAGTCTATTTAATTTTCCCATATTTGTGAGTCTCCAAATTTCTTCCTGTTATGAATTTCTAATTTTATTCCATTGGGGTTGTAGAACTTACTTAGTATTATTTCTGTCCTTTTAAATGTATGAAGTGGTTTCTTTTTTAAGCTTATAAACAACAGAAGTTTATTTCTCACAGTTCTTACTTGCTTGTTCATTTGTTTTCTGAATTATTTGAATTATTTTAGTGAAGTCTATTTCACCATTTCTTCCATAGTTTGTATTTATCAAACCAAAAGTGAAGAACTGTGTTCAGTCCTGAGTGCCACTAAAACATACAGAGCTTCCAGGATGGGGTGTGTTTCAGGATATCATAGATATTTTATTGAGATCAATCAAACTAACAGGATAGAAAGCATGGCAGAGTTGCTAACTTCAACGTTCTAACATGCTATACTGGTACAACTGAAGAGGTCACAGAACTTAGACAAACTGGAAGCCATTATATAGAACAGATATTAACTCAAAGTATAAGAAAAAAAAATTTTAAGCAAAGAATGTAGCAATGGCATATACTACCTTTTAAAATAATTAGGTTTCCAGTTTTAAGTAGTTTTCAACATGAGGATCATGGTATTCCTTGTTTGGGCGGGGAGGTTTTGATAGATGATCATATTTTCTGTGATAGTCAAAATCTCTGGTCTTCAATGTAATCATTTTGACATAATGCAAAGAACTTTATATGCCTATAAACATATACTACAGATAAACTATTACTCATTTCTAGAAAAACACTTCACAAAGAAACTTTAAATGTTTCCCTAGCAAGAGTTCCTCTAAGACTGTTGTTTAAAAGTATTTTCCTGGTTAGCTATGTATCTGGTAAATTACTATATAAACCACTGGAGGATGGGATTACTTTGAACATCTACATTCTCTCATGTACATGCTTTACAAAATCAGAATAAAGTAATTCATTCTCAAGAGTTCATGTCTTACAAAATATTTTTAAATGAAATATCGAGATCCAGAACTCACCAGAAGAAATCTTACCAGCACCTTTATAGTCAACAGAAAATGCAGATTTGACTCCATTGGTTGACCCCAGTTCACACATGGAAATTTGATAAGGGGGCCTCAGCTTGATTTCTGTCTGCATGTCAGACAGATTTATCTTTGTTGAAAGAGACCTGGGATTATTATATCGCTGCTTGGTCCTCTGAATGAAGTTATCTATGTAAAATAAAAAATACATTTCCTTGCAGTCATTTGTTAAGTAAATCATTTGAGAGTGTGATGTTTATGGACAGTAAATTTTATAAATAGCTTAATTTGTTATCCAAAACTATTCAATTTGTCATGGAATGTTCTAATGTTATTTGTGTTTAATGGCTAATATATCATGGAGTCATTAGCTTTTTCACTCTAGAAATTAATCATTGTAAATAAATTAAGAATTTAACACTACATGACTGTGAGAATATTACTACTATTATATCTACTTGAAGGAATTACAAAAACAAACTCTAATTTTAAGTCTTAATTTTTATAAGGATTCATATTTCATAAAATATTGTCAGTATTTACCAGTTATAATTATGTCAGAACACACAGTGTAAATTGCATGTTCTTATAGACCTGTTTTCTTATTTATTGCTTACACCATCAAAATGTTTTAAAGAATAATTTAGTGAAATCAATAAAAATATTTCTAAATATCTTCCTATTTTATTTTCATTATTTACAACTTGATTTTACTTTCTTTTTCTCCTACATCAACTGTCAAGCAATGCCTACAGGCCAAATTTAGCCTGCTGTTTTTTTTAAAATAAGGTTTCATTATAACTATATCCATTAATGTACTGCTATGGCTGCACTCAAGCTACCATAGCAAGACTGAGTACCTGCGACAGAAACCACAGGGTCCTTAAAGCCTAAAATATATATACTATCTAGTCCTTTCTAGAAAATGTTTACCAACCTCTGTTCTACATAAGCAGACTTTAAAAGACTATCACATAAGCAAAACTCTGAATTTCTGGCTTGTAAGTTTATCATTGAGGAACTATCCTCCAGGATTAATTTTTTGGGCCAATAATTACAATTCCCACCACAGCTCCAATACAACTTTTCCTAATAAACATCTAAATGAAGATGATGCCATAATTTATAGACCATTTGTTAAACTATTCTATCAAAATCAAGATAGCAGAATTTTTGAGTTTCACCCCTGACCCCCAGTATTAGATGATGGAAACAGGATAATGAAAACGAAAAAAAAAAAATCAGGCCCTTACCAAATTCAATGAAACAGTATGGTCTGACAGCAGTATTTGTCTTCGTCATGTTATAAGTAGTAATGAACTCCTTCTGAAGCTCATCCAGGAAAGAGAAGGCCAGAACATTTGGGTAATTTTCAGTGCACAACATCATGTAGCTCACTCCCAGAGAGCTAATAAAACTACAGTGTAAAAAACATTGGTTTAAAAATTTCAAATTAAATCAAGGTAATTCGTTGCTTCACAAGGCTGGTTCTATATACCATAAACTGCTGCTACAGTGGCAATGACGATATTAACATTTATTATATATTCCAGCAAAAAATTTTAAAGGGACCATAATACTATTTTCATTTGCAATTTAAAAACAACAGCCTAGAGACTGAATGTACCTACAAGGGGACACACAACTATGGTTTGAAAATTTCAGTTATCAGTCAGGGGTAGAAAGCAAGACAAAGAATATTCAAATAAATATATAAGGTTGACAGATAGCATAAGGTCTAATCCTTCAACCTAGTAGAAATGAATCCTATTTCAATCAAGAACTCTATAGAATATTTCAATAAAAGATATAGACAATCTCCCCCCAAAAGATATCCAAACAACACAAAAGTTAGCACCAAATTTCAAGGTGGTTAGACCTCTTGAGGTCATTCATTGATTCAGAGCAAATCCTCTACATGGTAATGAAATAAAAGCTGTGAATGTTTCTGATAAAAGAAGGCCAAGGACAATTAAATGCAATAACTAACTCTAATGTGGATCCTGTACGAGGATGGGAAGGTGGATGTGGGGGAAGGAATGCTATAGCATCCCTGTCCACATAGGACACTCCTGAGTCAACTGACAAAATGACAGAAACAAAAAACAGGCAGAAATGTGGTATAAATATTAAATTTACCTGAACTAATAACAGTACTACAGTTTAGTAAGAGATTGTCCCTAACCGTAGAAAACATAACTTGAAGTCATTAGGAATAAAGGGACATGGTATTTGTTATTTATAAGTTTCTCTCAAATGGCTAAAAATAAATCAGATAGGTAGATAAAATGATAAAACAAATGGGATAAAATGTTAGGGTGAATTGGGGAATAAACGTAATTTGTATTTTTCGTATTTATAAAACTTCTGTAAGTTTGAAATTATTTCTGAGTAGCAAGTTAAAAATTAAAAACAAAAACCTTCTGCTTAAGTACCGAAACATTTAAATTATGTCCTAATGCGGGGAAAACTTTCTAGAACACAGTATATACCCCCTCTAATAAGGAGAGAGCACAAGACACAGGTTTACCCTTTCAGATCCTTTCATAGTACTGTGAACACAGCTGACTGAGATAAAGGACAGAGCATAGAGGCCACTTCCTGTGCCATACACTACAACCTATCATAACAATCCTTACTGCCAAGTGCTGATAAATATTGGCATTCCCCTCCTCGCATTTCTTCTCAATATATAGTACTTATTTTAAATTTTTAGGATATATTCATATAATTCAAATTTTAAAAGAATGAAAAATGAAAGGAAATACTGTACTTAAACTGCCTTATCCCCACCTCCACCCACAGGTAGCCAATTCTCTATCCCTCAAGTAATTCATATTATTTTATTAATTTCTTATGTATCATTTCAGTGAGTTTTTCTTGAAAGACTATCCTTGTCTGGCAAACAATGTAAGACTCGCACCTATCAACTACACTTTTTTTTTTTTTGGTTTTGTTTTTTTTTTTTTAATAGAGGCATGCTTTATTTATTTATTTGTTTGTTTGTTTGTTCGTTTTGTTTATACAAGCACTGGGTACAGTCAGAAGTGCGGGAGGGTGAAAGAATTCACCAGAGTCAGAGCGGGCAGCAGAGCAGGCAGAGGGACCGAAGTACACTGCTGAGGGGAGCAGCGGGCGGCAGGAGAGGTCTGCATGCCATGTGGACCCTCCTCCGGTGGCAGAGCCAGGGATCGAACCAGCGCCGCAGAGGCCGCAGGCAGCTTCGCAACCCAGCGCTCAACCGCTGCGCCACCGGGGAGGCCCCTATCAACTACACTTTAATACATGGGATATACCACTGGTAAAATTGTGTTGTCTTACTTAATGCTCCTGGAATTCCTTTCTGAAGTCATACTTAATACACAGTCATTTGATACCACATTTTCCAAACTGCAAGGAACAACTCTATTAGTAGGCTGTAAAATTAACTTAGAGAATTACACAGAGCATTTTCTTAAAAACTCAAGATAGTTAGGATCCTATTTATATGTAGATAGCGTTTACAAACTAAAAATGCTCCTTTTCTTATGGATCAATATGTTTACTCATAATACTGCATTTTTCTACAAAATAATTAAATTTAACTCTCAACTAAATTAAGAGTCAAGGTACATTTTTCCCAAGTAATTTTCTATTTCCAAAAAAATCTTCACTGTCATCAAAATTCTTTGACCTGTCATTAACATTCAAAAATACCCTGCAGTGGGCCTCCCTGGTAGAGCAAGGGGTTAAGCACTGCACTATGAGGTGATCCGGAGCCACTGCAGCACGAGTTAGATCCCCAGCCGGCCAGGGAGCAACCCACATGGCGCAGCAGACCTCTCCTAACTCGCCCACTGCTCCCCTTAGCAGTGTACTTCAGTCAATCTGCCTGTTCTGTTCCCCACTGTGTCTCTGGTAAATCCTCTCACTGCCCGCATCTCTGGCCTGTACCCCAGCTCTTGTATGCATAAATAAGTAAATCTTTGAAAAAAAAAAATACCCTGCAGTAACTTGAATAGGGGGAGAAACACAATTGGTGATTGGCTTTCATATATTTGGAAGTCCCAAGTGGCTAACTAGGAGTTATTTCATTATCCTCCAATAACATGACTTTAGTTTTGGGACTCAATTTTTGGTGTTATGACAGGCTTTTACTAGATTTTCCTATTACTAATAGAGTGAACCAGACACCTTCCTGACAGTTCATCCTATATGGTTTCTCTTGTTTGTACTAAATTTACCTTAAGAATTGCATGTGATATAAAGGAAACCTATGTTTTTTAGGATTGTATGTTAGGATTTTCAAGCAATCTTTATTCCAAAGTCTCTATTTTACTATAATTGCATAATACTGTGGAAAGGCTATAAAGTATTCTATAGTATAATGACATTCCATAGTGAAAGTAGCCTTATGATGCTATCTTTGAAATGCAAAATACAACTACCACTGGGACAGAATGAAAGACTCCCACCATTTCATAGAGGACTAATCCTATGAAATAGTCTAAGTCGCTACAGGCATACCAGTTTGTGTATGCGTTAGTCTGTTCATTTAGTTCACATTTTATAGACAATCTGGCCATTGTCCTGCTTTGCTGAGCAGGAAGAGTAGTAGCAGTAATAGTAAGTACTGAAGGTACAGTTTACTGAAAACTAATAATAAGCAAAGCCTTCTGCTAAGTGCTTTACATACTACATCTCTGGTTCCCCATCACTGCACATACACTAGGAACTTATTTAAGTCCTTCCAGCACCAAGTGTCTTAAATCAGTTAAGTTGGCAAAGTTCAAATACCAAATATGGGGGAATTAACCCTCTCAATCACTTAATTAAAAAGTTAATTCAAAAAAAAAGTTAGTTCAGTCATGTATCTAAGGAGACAATACCTCAAATGATTCTTAAAGTTCAACAAAATGAACAGGTGGTTGTACACATTAAACTTTTTCTGCTATCTAATTTTATCAATTGTGAAAGAAATTTCATACACACCAATTAAACATCAACATTATTAGGATAATTCTGATCTATGGCACTAAACTAATTAATGAAAGCAATGATCTTCTCCAGGGCAAATAGTCAAGGATCTAGCATATGTCTAGCATTCTACTTTACTGGCTCTTAGATTACTGTCTTTTTCTGAGAGGCGTGGTACTAGAAATGCTAAAACAGATGATAAACAAAACAAAGAAACAAACTGTATTTTGTAGCATGCTGAATGACAAAGTACATAAGTATTTATAAATTGAGGTAGCAATAATATTTGTATTACAAATAATTTTCATCTGCAATTATACCATTATACATAGGAAAATCTGCTTATATTTTGTAGCCACATTTGCCCAGTGAATACCTTTCCTAAGTGAAGAAAAATTCTCCAATTGGACATTCCATGTCTAATCTACTAAAATTACTAAAAGAAAAATATTGTTTTAAAAATAGAACCTTCCGGGCCTCCCCGGTGGCGCAGCGGTAGAGCGCTGGGTTGCGAAGCTGCCCGCAGCCTCTGCGGCGCCGGTTCGATTCCCGGCTGCTCCCCGGCCACCGGAGGAGGGTCCCACATGGTGCGCAGACCTCTCCTGCCACCCGCTGCTCCCCTCAGCAGTGTACTTCGGTCCTTCTGCCTGTTCTGCTCCCCGCTCTGGCTCTGGTGAATTCTCTCACCCTCCCGTGCTTCTGACTGTACCCAGTGCATGTATAAACAAAACAAATGAACAAACAAATAAATAAAACATGCCTCTATAAAAAAAAAAAAAAAAAAATAGAACCTTCCATACTGAAATTCCATTCTCAAAAATAAAGTGTTTAAACTTTTGGGCAGGGAATATTAGAATTGTTTTTATGGTAACACTGGCTTACAACATTGTAAATGATAGACTCACCCTCGTTCAGGTGCATATTACCACATCACACCCATCATCAAACTTTTTTTTTTTTAATTTTTATTTTTTTTAAGATTTATTTATTTATGCATACAAGAGCTGGGGTACAGGCCAGAGATGCAGGAGCTGAGAGGATTCACCAGAGACAGAATGGGGAACAGAACAGGCAGACTGACCGAAGTACACTGCTGAGGGGAGCAGCAGGCAAGTCAGGAGAGGTCTGCTGCACCACGTGGGTTGCTCCCTGGCTGGCCAGGGACCAAACTTGTGCTGCAGAGGCTGCAGATTGCTTCATAGTGCAGTGCTTAACCCCTTGCACCACCAGGGAGGCCCCATCACACTTTTAAATATAGATAGACAGACAGATAGATAGATAGATAGATAGATAGATAGATAGATAGATAGTTTGATTTCCAAACCCTATCAAATCATTGGAAATCACTGTTACACTAAAAAAAAAAAAAAGTTTCCAAATGTCCCACCCTTTGTGCACTAACCCACTAGTACTTTAGTATTTCCTGTGGTTGGAAGATTCTGCCCTGTAAAAAAGTAGAAA